GATGATGATGATGATGCTGATACTGATCTTATATTATATTACGGTGAACTTGATGGTGGAGATGATGGTGGTTGTTGCTGATGCCGCTGCAGCTAGTGTCAAATTTGTTGTTTCGTTTGTGCTGCTGCTCCACATGCTGCTGCTGCCGCTGCTGCCGCTNNGCTGCTGATGCTGCTGCTGCTGCTATTCCAGGGGCATTGCCGTCAAGTACTGCACGCGCCCTTGTGACTATCAGCGGGTTTATTCGCTCACACGGCTTCATCTATCTACCGACATGTTTCGTATTTCTATGCACACACGAAAGATGAGTAGCGAAAGGGAACTTTGTTCAAAAGCAGCAGCGATGCTCTTGAACCCATCAGCTGACTGTGCGTGAACTGAACTTGCATAAGGTGTCCACAGCCCAGGATGAAACCCTAAACCCTAAATCCTTTCCAATGCTTTGGTTGAGGGTTGAGGCTGCCCAGGCTGAGCATTCAGCTGTGAAAAATGCCTGATTTTGTGATACCGGTGAGAAGCCACAATTGGCCTCTCCTTTTCATTTTCATGCCACAAAATCCGAGTATGAGCGTTGCCCACAGCTGAACACAGATTGCTTAAACCTCGACTGGGCCAACCCTACAACCCTAGACCAGAACCACAACAGACCCTTAACCTTAACCCCTATTCCCTAAACGGACCTAAACCCCAGACCCAACTCTAAAACCCTAAACCACTGAAAGCCTCAGTCCACGACCACGATTACCACAACTTCGACTCAGACGGCTGTGTCCTCAGCTTGCTCTGGTTTGGGGTTTAGGGTTTAGGGTAGGGATGTAGGGTTTAGCGGTTTAGGGTTCAGGGTTCAGGGTTTCGGGTTAAGGGGGCACTCAGAGTTTAAGGAACCTTCTCATGACGGAGTGTTGCAAGGCCCCGGTCAAAATCCTCAGCTCTACAACCCTGCAGAGCCCACCCTAACACCCCTGAACCCCATGAGCCCGAAATCCTCGACTCTGAATGTGTTGTGCACAAGAAATAGTCAAGCGTTGCCTCCCGCCGCAGACCACAATTACAACGACTACAAGCACGACCACCACTGTCCGAGCCCCTGCCCGGCGAGGGTTGGGTTGCAGGCAAGGTTTTTGTTTCCGTTTTGGGGGGTCCGAAACCCAAACCCCTAAACCGATTTGTCGCGTGCTTTGTAGCCGTAGAGTTTCGGGTATCTTTTGTGGCAGCACGTCGCTTGGCTTGGAGACACTCGGTACCTGGCCGTCCCCAGCATATCTTGTTGGCAGGTATAGGGGTCTGTGTGATTACCTATATACTCCCCTGTAGTACACATAGAATCATGCGATACAGAACCCTATCCGAATTATGAAGCCCTTATAGTTGTGCAGGCTGCCCGACATAGACAAAGATACCTGTTTTCAGGTTCAGAACTGTTTGTTGCATGGAGACTATCCGAGACATTGACTTCCTGCGGGGCTAAACGCACCACGCCCAAGTCGCAATTTGATCCAAGTTTCGTACATCGGAGTGCTTTACTGCGGAATCCTCACAATCAGAAGCCTCGGAGAGTTCAGAACATCTACGCCCCCCCATGATTTCCCAGGCTTGTGCAACTCCCGTGTCGGGGTTCTCCATCGAGATCATGGAAGGGATCTGTGGTGCCTGAGCTCAAAGGAGGGATGCCGTACATGTGGTCTCAGTAAGCATCGGATTTTCAGAGAAGCACGTCCACTCTTCAACTTTGCATCCTCTACTTCCCTCGAGAAGAGACACTTCGAGCCCTGCGTTGGCGCAGCAGACATGCGTTTGTTCGTCATGTCTTGCTGCAGTATCATCATTAGGCTGCAAAGTTCCCCGAGCATTCGGGATGCTAGTTGGCTTTTCAGATGATAATTTCCCTATTCCCTACTCTGACTATTCGGTCCCGTTTGTGCAATAGTCATAATAGTCACTAGTCATCTGACTGCTGCAAACACAAAAGCCAGCTTCTTAGGTCGCCTTACCGGAATCGGCGGTATTGCTATAGAGCCTAATAAGTCTGACAAGGTCCTCGGGTTTGGGGCGTAGGCTTCGGGAGTCTGGAGGTTGGGGGTTCAGTTTTCAAGGTTTTAGGAATTTAGGGTTTGGGTCTCAGGGCCGAGATGAACATGATGGTTGTTGATGATATTCTGGGTGGCAATTTGGGAAAGTTTAAAATTTCCCCTTATGGTCTCTATAGAGGTACCAGGTACCTATTCACAAATACTTTTCAGGGCCCCAAAACTACAACCCAGTATTTAAAATGGGGTGAGGGATGATTCCCCGAGGGTTCAGTTGTGCTTTCGAAGTCGAAGCAAATCCTGGCCATCCGAGGAGCTCCAAAACGGGCTCCAGATGAGGTTCGCACCCCCCCTAATATACAGGCCTAATTAATTAAATAATTGCCAATAAGAATTTGGGGGGTTCCTTCTTATGATTATACTATAAAAGATCCCAGAACTTTATTCTAATTATCAAGGCCCCTATATTACCTGCCACACCATGGGCAAGGCAACTTCGATGACAAAGGATCGTGCAGCCTGAAGCAGCACCTAGCCGTCGCTCGAACATCAGAGCCTCTCTGTCTCAGGTGACCTGTCCAAGTACGGCCGCCTCGAGTATGCCGATGCCGTCAGCTGCGAGCCGGCTACGACTCCGCCGCTTCGCTTGTTGACAGGTTGCCATTCCCACATACAGCCCTAGAAGATTCGGGAGATGTATATATGGTTTGCTCAGAATTCCACTACATCACCTCGCCCGCGAGTATCCTCGAGGAATCACCCATCAATCCTGCATACTACAATGGAGGGGCTGATGTCGCCGTTAGATACTGCAACTCGTTCTAGACATGCTCCTGAAATCCTGCTTGGCTAATGCTGTCACTTCCAGCCTGCCGAGACGCTGCACTCTGTCTCTCCCAGTTTGGGAGCGGAGCTTCAGCTAGGCTAAGGCTCTTTGTTATTGGGATACTCGTACGATCAGAGATGATACTATCAAGCAGCACCTGAAACTCTCCCTGAAGAGTTACACTAGTTCAGAACAGCCACAAGTGTCACAAGTGCAAGCCTTTGCCTTCACAGAGCTGTTGGCGAAAGCCCACCGCACGTCTGCAAGGGTGAACACTGGAGGCCCAGTCCCCTGAAGGCGCAACCGGAAGCCGAAACTCGACAAACACGAGTTCCAGGCAATCCGGAACTCATAATGTGTTGTGACACACTAAGCAGTCGGATCCTTTCATATTTAGCACCCATAAACAAGGCACCCAGAAGTTTACGAAGCCAATAAGATGCCCTGGCCTCGAGGTTTGTGCAGCGAGCCCTGGCGAACAAAATGCCCCGAGCTGAGGTGCGTTTTGCGAATTTAAGGGGATTCAGTCTCCGTTGTAGTTGGGCATATTGTGGGTGCTATGTTAAATTCAGGATTTACCTATAGTTTCCGTTGTAGTTGGGCTTTTGCTTGATATTTTAGGTTAGCCAGAAAGCCGGGGATCAAAACTGCCACCGGTAGCGGAACTACTGGGGGCCAAATCGCACGACCGTGAACCCGAAACCCTATGCCCGAAGCCTAAACGTAAAACTTCAAACACTCCAGCCTAAAGGCTGAACCAGAGCTCCGAATGCGAAGGTTTTTCGCAGAAACCCTAAACCCCTAAACCCTAAACCCCTAAACCCCTAAACCCTGAACCTTGAATCACGGACGCCTGACCCTGGACCCTGGTGTCCCGAATGGGCTTTTGCGGTCAGTTCCTGAAATACGACATCGGAATTCGGGTAGAATAGGGTTTTGGGGTACGTTATACAACAATTATAGTAAGGAACCCCCAGAATAGTATAGGTAATTATTACGGGCCCTATAGTAGGCTGACGTGTGCACCAACCAATAGGCATCTGTACTGAGAGTCTCGAACCCGCGCACCCTTGGATTAATATAGGGGCCATAATAATTAGAATAGGGTTTTCGTGTACATTATACTATAAGGAACCCCCGAAACCCTATTCTAATGACTAAGGCCTCTATATATTACTCCAAGGATCAATGGTAAAAGCCTCGAAACAGCCGGCAAATCTGCAACTGCACTAAGTCACTAAGGTTCAGCCACTGCGGCGCTTGGTGCATCTACGACTACTACCAGCCGGACAGCTTACCCCAAGTGTGTTCCGGGTAGAGTTCCTGGGTTGGGCTCGTCACGTCACCGGGAATAAATGACCGGAGCGCATCCAACAGTTTCCTGTTGCAAAAAGGTGTTCGAGATGTCGAGAAGTTTCGGGAGATTAGGATCTAAATCAGTCCGGGATCTTAACTGCTGATGGTTGAGATTCCATCAAAAACAGCCATCACAGCAATGCCGTCGAACCGCTGATACACTGTTGCCGGCGATGTCGATGCTCCTGTTTAGGACAAAGTTATGGCTGACGAGGAAGAGTCAATCTTAATGATACAGAAGGGACTGTCCTGGGGCCTGCGTTTTTGCAGTCTAGCTATTTTACATAGAGTATGATAATCTTTGTGGGAGATATGGGCATGATGGTAAAGACGACGATTTTGGTAGTGATTGCCATGTCGTTGGTCGCGTGGCGCAGTGGAAATTTGAAGCAACACTTTGGTGGAAGCAACGTCCGGTGGTCATGTTGTTTATGGCGGTCCCGACAACGATTGCGTAACTGCTGATGGTGGTGGTGATGAGTACCGGTGTGATTATGATGGTGATCATGATGAACGTGACGATTCAGATCCTGATTTTGCTGCCAACATGCTCGAGAGCTTGTGTTACTGCAGCCGCTGCTGCTGCTGCTGCTGCTGCTGCTGCCGATTCTGCAGCTTTTGCAGATTCTTTGGCTGCTGCCATTGCCGCTGCTGGCTGCTGCGCAATGTGGGTGGTGGTCTGATGGTTGTTCCACTGCTCTTCCGTTTAATTTGAAACTCATCCATTATCACGACCATACCAGAAGCAAACTGGCTTTTTTGTCAAGCCGTAACTGGCAGCACCAAGCAGCAACCGGCACCGGCAGTATTGACGATGAGTAACATCGCCGTGAGTTACATTGACATCGTCGTAGAGTCATACCGGCACTGCGAGCAAACATCGCAAGCAGAAGCGACCAGTGCTAGCACGAGAGGCACACAAGTATTGCACTTTGTCTCCCTAACCCTCCAGGTACCTACTATACAGGGCCCTAGGGGCTCTAGTACCCTTCATAGTAGGTACCTGGGGGGTTAGGGTTTGTCTGTTGCATCCACAAATAACCCACGGTCCGGGCAAACCGCGGCATTCGCAGCCATCGCCAAAACCACCATCAACATCATCAGTCGCCACAGCAGCATACAGCATCGTCACCGCCTCTTACAGCACGGCCATAGCCCTTTCTTAAACCCTAAACCCTAAACCCCTAAACCCTAAACCCTAAACCCCTAAACCCTAAACTTTAGCCCTAAACCCTGAAACCTAAACCCTCCGAGTCTTGAAAGTCTTCGGCCGTGGGCGCAGGACAAGATCTCCTACCATTGGAATGCCACCGGCAAGTGCTTCGCACAGTCAGGACGACCTGGGGTTTATGGTTTAGGGTTTAGGGTTTAGTGCATCTCTGGAGCCACCCTGGAGTAAGGTTGGTAGTTTCCGAAAATTAGGGTACCGTATTTCTTGGGATGCTTATACTAAGGATACTACTATGTACTATATTCGGGCCCCCTATTAACTTCTAGCATCCTTGAAGTGAAACTCCAGTTCACGTCAGCCACGGAAACGAGAAAGCTTCGAGATCCGGCGGGTTGAGATCAAGCTTTCCATGTTCAATATAGGGGCCTTAATAATTAGAATAGGGCTTTCGGCCCAATATACTATAACTATAATATGGAACCCCCAAAACAGTATTGGTAATTATTTAGGCCCCTACATTAGCTTTTTGAGCTTCTAGTTTGGAGGTGTGTTGCGGGTATACGAGGCTTGCATGCAGCTGCAGATTCAGAGCCCGAGATGCTAGCAGCTACTTGCATGCCCAAGCTTTGGGCAGGGAAGTGTTCGGGCCTTCGACACAGGGCACCGCTGTTGCCAGCAGCGTGGAATGCATGTTTGGGGGTGCAGTCACCATACAAAAACCAAAACCGCAAAAGCAGCCCTAAGCCCTAAACCCCTACTACCAGATCAGACTGGGCACTTGGAAGCTTTGGCGAGGCCTTTGCCTCGAGAAGTACAAGAATGAGAAAGAGAAGGCAGTTGCCAAGAAGCAGCTCATATGTACCGAGGCACCTGCAGGGGCACGTGAGGAATGGCTTGCGTGCTTTGCTCCAGACCGTAAGCAAACCTGAAGCCGCTTAGTGTAATATAGGGGCCTAAATAACTAGAATAGGGTTTTGGGGCCTTTTATACTATAATTATGGTGAGGAACCCTCAAAATAATATTGGTAATTATTTAGGCCCGTACATTAGGTCCGCAACTTTGGCGTTGATCTGTGTTTTGCAGGCCACCGCAGTAACTAGCGTCATGGTTCCTCTATGTCAATGTCCTTGGTCAGTATGTTGAAGGATGGTATACCCTCAGAGTCTAAAAAACCGTTCGGCCACATAAAATTCGAGTCATGCCCCTGTCCCTGCGCGAGCATGGCGTCGGTGTGATCTTCATGACGCACAGCAACACATAGCAACACATGTGTGATCTGAAATTCAACGCGAGCGTTTGGACATCATGCTCTTCACATGGCCATGGCTGTACGAGGCTTGTGGAGCGTTTTGGCCGCTGTTGTCGTCTACGTATGTTAACCATTCTGCTGCTGGAGTTAGTGAGAGTGACCGGGCAGTCGCAGTGGATGGTGCAAGTTGTACATGGAAGCTCCTACGGAGGCTCATAGCTACTCTTACTTGATGTCGGCGGACATGGTACCTTCATTCTAGGGGACTGAAGTACAATGGTTATATAAGTTATATTATATGTATATATATATATATACATATATACATACTTATATATACTGCATATATATATATATATACATATAGGTTGTATATTTTATATATTGCAATGTCTAGCCTAGACTTACGTACAACAAGGCCAATAGATCCGAAGACTACCACGCGCGGGCATCCCAAACCTTGCCCGGCAAAGACCGTAGCTTTGGATTACGATGTATACGACTAATTTAGGGGCCCTAATAATTAGAATAGCGTTTTTGGGGTATATTATACTATACTTATAATAAGGAACCCCAAAACCCTATTCTAATTCTTCAGGCCCCTACATTATCACTGTTGGGTATTCGACTTGTCATCGTCGCCATTTATCAACATCAACATAGTCATTCTCAGCATTATGTGTATTTTCATTTTGTATTCCTATTATTATGGGTTTCTTCATGTTCGTCCTCAACAGCATCAGCCGCAGCATTGTCGTCAGCATCACTATCACCATCATCGTCGTCACCATCATCAACATCTCCGTCATCATCATCATCATCATCATCATCATCATCATTGTGTCATCATCATCATCATCTTCATCATCATCATCATCAGCATGTTCATTTTTCGGCTGTTGCTGCGATGGACATACGAAGACACTTGCCTGCGGTTTGTGCGTGTGAAGCCTCATATAACCCCGGATGCTGGACGTTCGAGACAGCAATGCTGTCAACCGTAGGTCGGCTATAGCTTCGTCTGCACAAGATGAACCTCCAGAATAATCCGGGGAAGCCCTCAACGGAAGCTGTGGTAACTTCAAAAGGCCTTCTAGCCCGAAAGCCTTCCAAGTAACCGCTTTCTGGAAACCCATGACAGGCCCTCGTGAAATCTTTGACCCGGCATAGTAAGTTTTAATCGTTCAGGAGGAGCCTTGCGTGCCGGTTGCGCCAAGCTTGACAAACTCGGTGAGCCTAAGATACTGCCCAGCCCCGAGTGTGAAACTGTAGGCATCGAGGCATGTTGTGTTTAGGATGTTGGTTTCAGGCTGGATGGAGTTCGGGGTGTTGGAGCTCGATTCTGGGTTCGTCTTGATAAAAGTTACACTGTGCTCACAGTTGCAGTCTTGGCTTGAATTCCAAAGTGTACAGCCTGGGGGTTGAGTAGGGCTTTTGGGGCCGCCTGATATGAAGTTCTGTGGACTACGTAACATCACAAGCGATAAAGAAGACACATCATCGAGCAACGGTGGCTTATAAAGATGTAGAAGAGACGGCCTTGCTACTCGTCTACTAGTCTCACAAACCCTAAGAAACATTGTGGCCTGAATCCTGCGCATTATGCAAAGGGAGGAAGTTGATGGAGCATGCAGACAGAACCTCTGCTTGAAGAAGTTGTCGTTCGAATGAAGTCGAGGTGTCATTGTGTCAGCAATCGTTGCACCAGCCCCCTGTGAACGGAGTGAAACTTATGTATTTAGAAATGTATTCTGGAGCCTGCAGGATCGGACTCAGATCTTTGATCCCAAATCCCCTCCTGGTCCCCACAAGTGCCTTAATGCAATCGCTCCAGTACCAGCACTTGCCCCAGCATGCACTGTGGCCTACTACTTGGTCCTAAACCCGAATTAAACCGCAAAGCAGACGATGCCAAATATTCAGTTAAACCCTAAACCCTAAACCCTAAACTTGAGGCAACAACCTCTCGACCAACAAGGAGGACAGAAGCGAGGACGCACGTGGTTGTCACGAGAGCCGTTCGGTAGCAGCCTGGGAAGGATGAGCCAAACATGCTTGCATTTCTTCCTATCGGTAATATAGGGGCCTTAACAATTAGAAAAGGGTTTGGGGGGGGGGGGGTATATTATACTATGATTATAGTAAGGAACCCCCAAAACCCTATTCTAATTAGTAAGGCCCCGACATTTCCTTGATCATTGCGAGTGCTTCTGCTGACGTTGACCTTAGCATGTTTGGAACCACCTCTAATCGACTCTAATCGCACTATTTTGCAAGGCACTAACCACGTCCAGATGGAAAGCATTATGTGACTTCTGTGTTTTACCGTCCTGGAGGCCTTGTAGTCTCAACTACGAACTGCAGGGCGCGCAGTTGCTCGCAGCGGCAGCCGTTACCGCAGCCATAGTACGTAGTTATTAACGTAGTCGTCGTCGGGTCCTCCTCCTACTTACTACTAGCACTACCACTACCGCTACCATTCGCTACCACTACTAACTGCTACTAGGACAACGTCTCCTACTACTGCTACGCTACTACTGCCGCGTCTATCACCGCTGCTGCTACTGCTAGCTACCTTGTTTCTACTGATGCTGCTACTGCCGCTGCTACTGCTACTGCTACGCTATTACTGCTGCTTCTATTATTGCTACTGCTACTGCTACTGCTACTGCTACTGCTACCGCTACCGCTACGGCTACTGCTGCTCCTGCTGCTGCTGCTGCTGCTACAAATGCTACTGGCATTGTTACTGCTAATGCTACTGCTACTGCTTTGCTAATGCTACTGCTGCTGCAACTACTGCTGCCACTGCTGCTGCTACTGCAACCCCTACTGCTACCACGACAACCTGGACAAGTGCCAGTGCTAGTGCCTTCCAGCAGAGAGGAGTGGGCGGAGCAGTAGCATCGACAGGAACAACCGAGGAAGCAGTAGCAGAAGATGGTAGCAAGATAGTTCGATGCAGTAGTTGTCGGTTTCAAGGTAGTACACCTTTGTGTCGGGCCAGAGTTAACCGTGTTGAGAAAGACCAGACTTTGGATGATTGGACATCAAATAAAGACCTACCAAAGCAAAGATCCAGCTTCACGGCCTAAACTTGCAGAGAGGCTACAGTGTCACGCGATTTTTGTTGGTGGCTTTCGTGCACAAAAACGGGCTCAAGACTCTAAACCCTATAAACCCTAAACCCTATCAGACCTAGACCCTAAACCCTATAAACCCTAAACCCTATAGACCCTAAACCCTATAAGCCCTAGAAGGCCCCAGACCCTCAACCCTCGGGCTCTGATCTCAGGCTACACACCCTACGTGCGAAGGGCTCTGGCGAATAACTTGCGGCAGCCTCATCTGCGGAACCTACTTCTTTCGTGCTTTAGGGAGGTTAGCGCTTTGGGGACGTTCGGATCAAGGATGTTGAAATTGGGGTCTGACCGGTAGTTAGGGTTATAGGGATTGTCGGCAAGTTTGGCTCTAAGGATTTAGGGAGTTGTTTTGTGCTTTGGGAGGTTCGGGGGCTGGCGATGTAGATTTAGGGCTTAGGGCTTGAACAAGTGTTGAGGGAGTTAGAGTTTATTCAAGGGGAAGGTCGGCAAGATGTAGGCTTTACCTAAAGTCTCCATCGTAGTTCCTTTTTTTGGTTTAACGAATTGTATACTACTGTAAGGATTTTTTATAAGGTATCCCCAAAAAGGAACTACAATGGAGACTATAGGTACTTCAGGCAGAATGAAGGGTGGTAAGTAGGGTAGAAATAGATACGGTCAATGCAAGCATGTTTCTACTCTCTGATGGCTTGCTTCGAACCCTGATGCTTCAAGTGGGGTTGAGGGACTTAAATTCCTAGTGGGTAGTTCTCTAAATTCGGGTCTCTTTTAGGTCCCCAAAATAGTGCGGTACCCTTAGAGAAAAGACCCCAAAAAGGGACCCTACTTCAAAGAACTACCCTAGTGTTCTCCCTTCAGCATGCGGAGCTCGAATCTACAAGCCTTGGTTATCCTAAGCGGACAGTTCCTGGCCGTCGAGTGCCCAGAAACTCCACGAAACCAACCCTAAAGGAGGCACCGGCACCATTTTTTGCCACCATTGCTATCATGAAGTTGCTAGTAGTACCGAGTCTCCTACGTTGCTTGTTGTTGTGTTGGCATGTGTTTCTACACGTCAGTACAGACGTCACGTGTTCTTGTACATCAGCAGGCATTGCTGTAGTGTAGTATGTGATTACTAGTACCTTTGTGTTATCATGCTAGTATCTAGCTATCACTGCTGCTAGTATCACAATGTCCGCATCTGCATGTTGCTGCGAGGTTCAGCCACTGTGGTGCCTTTTGCCTCTACGATTTCGACCAGCCAGACAAGGCAGATGCGGAAGAGACACCGTAAGGGGCTTGGGGTCCCGATTCCCTCATTCCTCTTCCTCCAAAACGCTTGATCCAACCCTATCAGGAAAGCCCCAAGCCGCCAAGCCCTCAACAACCTCCTTACCACCAGAGAGCCCTCCAAACCCTAAACCCTAAACGCTAAACCCTCAACCCTAAACCCTGAACCCTCACCCCTAAACCCTAAACCCTAAACCCTCAACCTTAAACCCTAAACCCTAAACCCTGAAGGTGAAAGTTTTGATGTGAAGGTGAAAGATGTGCAGGCAGGCAAGAAGCCTCGGCCAACCTAGCCTTCGGTCTAACCTTTGGGCAGACGGAAAACGGGTAGTAACAAAAGAAACCCTCAACCCTAAACCCTCAACCCTGAACCCTAAACCCCGCAACCCTCAACCCTAAACCCTAAACCCTATAAACCCTAAACCTCAGAAAGAAGCCTCAGAGCTCAGGTCTCCTACTCCTACGACACGACCCGGAAGTGCTGGCACCGAGGGAGCCCGGGATCTTACTTTGCTACGGCTCAGGGTTTCTAGGGTTTAGGGTTTAGGGTTTAGGGATTAGGGTTTAGGTTTTAGAGTTTAGGGTTTAGGGTTAGGGTTTAGGGTTTAGGGTTTAGGGTCTAGGGTCCAGTGTTTAGGGTTTACGGTTTAGGGTTTGGAGGGTTCAGGAGTCCTCAGAAAAAATGGCTTCCTTTGAGGAGTTCTTTAATAAAGCCCTGAACAGTTCCTTGAAGGGAACTGTAGCGTTCAGGGTTTAGGGTTCAGAGTTTCGTTTTAGGCTGGAGGTTTTATGTTTAGAAACCTAAACCCTAAACCCTAACCGTTGGAAGTAAAGGGGCAGTGCTACCTTTTTCCACCAAGCTCCAAGAAAGGCGACACAGGCGACTCCCTCGTTCGGGCTTGGGTTGAGGGTTTAGGGTTTGGGGTTTAGGGTTTAGGGTTTAGGATTGCGTATCAGTTGCTGAGGCGTAGGTTGTCGGTAGCAAGACATGTAGATTCACAAATTCACCAAGGAATAGCAATAAGTCACTGCAGCCATAAGCAGGAACGCAGCAGTAATGGAGCAGTCATTACACTATAATTATGTTGGCGATCCAAGATCTGTGGAACGCAAAGGCCAGTTCTTGTCATACTAGTAGCGACAACGGCGACGACGACGATGACAAGGAATGCGGCCACCGCTCCCACTTCTGCCGCCGCCACCACCGCCGCCGCCGCCACCACCACCACCACCACCAGCAGCACCACCACCACCACCAGCACCACCACCACCAGCACCACCACCAAAACCAGCACCACCACCACCACCAAAACCAGCACCACCACGAA